GACATGAGTATTGTCTTTGATGTCAGTATTAAAGGGAGCAGGAGGGGTTGGTTGTTTGAGAAAAGGAGCCAAAAGAGTAGTTAGACATGTTTATAATATGTAACAAAGTTGACAATGTCAAAACTATTGTTTTAGATTTTAAACAGTTACAGGAAGGCGTTATTCGTGTAAAGGATAGAGGTTTTAATTTGTTAAAATAAGGATTTTTCTATTAAAAGGGCTTTCTATTAGTCCACACTAAAGCCTATGGTTTCTAGGCTAGACAATAGACCAGAGAATAGTCTATCGACTTTCATAGTCTACTTTCTAGTTTATAGTATAAAGTGTAGTCCCTACATATCCTTTATTTTTATTCCGCTGCTATATTTATGAATAGAAACTAATTAATACTCTATTTTCTACATATAAAGGTTTAATGCCTTCATCATGAAATTTTCCCATTACCATCAACTTGCGCAATAATTTTTTTATCATAAAAAGCCACAATTTATTTACAATTATTTTATAAAATATTTATAAACATTTTTTTAATAACGAAATGACATTTCATGCGTTAGTGTCCTTACTAGGGCCCCTTTTTTTCTTAGTAATAATTTAAAAAATAAATATTTCAACAGAATTGCATTAGTTCAAGTCATTTACACGTTTCTCACATTCTATTCACGTTATTCTATGTGCCATCCCATTTAAAAGTCATATAAAAAAGCTTTCTGAACCTAATAAGCCAATAAAAAAAGAAGTAGTTGCTTGAACTGACCCCTGTTACAATACTATTTTATAGACATTTTAGTGCAACAATTTTAGGATGAAAATAGATGAAAATTATTTACTTAAGTAAACTGTTATTGAAGGTATGTACCAACTAAGTTTGAGCGCTAGAGTGAGTGGTTGGACTCATTTAGAACAAATTACCTCAGCAGACCCATAAAAATATCGTAAAATTTATAAGAAAAAAAGTTCAACTGCTGAACTTAACAAAAGTCACTAACTATCTAATGCTAAGATAATAAAACCGGAACATGTTAAGGAATATTTTGCAAGCAAGAACTTTGGCATTTTTTCCTAAAACTTAACTAAATAAAACTTTGTTAAATTTTCCAGAATATTTAATAAAATTTATAGATGGTCATTTTGAGAGGTTTGTACTTTTTTTCCAAACTTAGTTATATAGTAGCTGCTTTTATACTTTTAATGTAGTTTGTTGATGTTTAGCCAAAGTTATAAATTTCTTTTAAAATAAACCTCATATTTTTTTTCTTAAACTAATGCCTGGTTTGCAAAAGACTTGTATGTAGTCTTGAACTCTTTTTTTTTCTATTTTTTTGGGCCAAAAAACCCCAAAATTTATACACATATTCTTTGAAAATTCCTTAACATTGTAAAAGCATTTTAATCACCAACTATTTGCAAATAAAATAAACCTCAGCCTCCTTAAAATATGCTATCATTATTATTCTTGTTGTTTTTTTTATTTATAACAAAAATTTCCCTTAAGATCATGTTAGAGCTTTTCTTTCTTTGGTTGAGAGTAGTATTATTTGAGTCACAGCAACAACAGCTACAACAAAATTAAGTTTGTTCAGTAATTAGAACACCACTAAAGACACCTGAAACTTTTCTGTAAGAAAATTTTTTAGTTTGTTGTTAAAGGAAAAAACCAAGAGTAACTCAAGTACTACTAATAAAACTATAACAACAAACTAACAACTACAATTAAGGCAATAAAATTAAATAAATTAAAAACAAGGTTGAAAAGAGTTGTGATACACTTGTTGGCTCTTTCGACGGTAACAAAATAAAAAAATTGTCAACGAATAATCGGTTACAATAACCGATATTGTAGTCCAACATTACACAACAGTATAGGCCACAGACTGGACTATAGTCTCCCTTACAGCATACGTTATCGTCTCTATTGTCTCGATAGCAGATTGAAATCTATACTCTAACTGCAGCGACTGTAGATTGAACTATAGTTTGGACTATAGAGTCGCAATTTTATACTATAGTCTCAACTATAGGCTGTAGTTTCAACTATAGACTGTAGCCTCAACTATAGACTATAGTCTCCACTATAAACTATAATATCAACTATAGACTATAGTTTCAACTAGAGACTATAGTCTCAACTATAGACTTTAGTCTCAACTAGAGACTATAGTCTCAACTAGAAACTAAAGTCACAACTAGAGACTATAGTCTCAACTATAGACTATAGTCTCAACTATAAACTATAGTCTAAACTATATACTATAGTCTCAATTATAGACTATATTCTAAACTATATACTATAGTCTAAACTATATACTATATTCTCAGCTATAGACTATAGTTTCAACTATAAACTATAGTCTAAACTATATACTATAGTCTCAGCTATAGACTATAGTCTTAACTATAAACTATAGTCTCAACTATAGACTATAGTCTCAACTACAGACTTTAGTCTCAACTGTTGACTAGAGATAATAGTCTCCTGTATAGACTGAATTATAGAATCGACTAGTCTTTGATATTTACAGTAGACTGGATTATAGTTTAGTCTAGTCGGCTATAGACTAGACTCGACTATATGCTGGAATATAGTCTCTTCTATAGAATATAATGTAGTCTCGAATGTAGACTGAGCTGAAAATTGGACCAAATCATGGCTATAGATTTATTTCTCAGCTTTAGACTATAGTCTGAACTAAAGACTTTAGTTTCAACTGTTGACTACAGATTATAGTCTCCTGTATAAACTGAATTATAGTTTAGTCTAGTCGACTATAGACTCGACTATATGCTGGACTGTAGTCTCTTCTATAGAATATAATGTAGTCTCGAATGTGGACTGAGCTGAAAATTGGGTGAAATCATGGCTACAGATTTATCTCGACTACATCCTGGACTATATTCTAGACCGTAAACTGGAATATAATATCGACTATAGATGAACCTATAGTTCTACATTATAGTATATGCTATAAACTAGTTTAGACTATAGATTAGACTGAAGTCTCGACCATAAACTGGGCAGTAGTCTCTACCATAGCTTGGACTACAGTCTAGATAGAACTGAAGTCTCGAGTATAAATTGGACTATTTTCTCAACTTTAAGTCTCTGTATCTACTATAGTCACGATAATATAGTCTTGACTATAAATTATAGTTTCCTCTATAGATTGGACTATAGTTTCGCCTATAGATTGTACTATTTTCTCAATGATTGAACTATAGTCTCTGATATAAACATAAATATACTATCTTTACTGTCTCACCAATCAAACCCCTTATTTTCATGCTCGAATTGTTCCCGGTATGGTGAAAGGATTGCACAAAAGATCTAAAACTGGTGCTTAGTGCCCTGTCTAATATAATGGTCTTGACTAAACTCTAGATTCGATTATAGACTAGACTATAGTATTGGTCAAAGTCACGACTTAGTCATGAATATATAAATACAAGGTGTAGAATTTGAAAAAAAATTCTTTGGGTTTCTTGTTAAATCAGTCAAACCCTTATTTATTACTTCTGTGGAGAGAAATATTTAACCCCCATCTTCATTACGGTAGAAATTTTTAGCCCTAAATGTAAAAAAAAATCTACAAAATATTTTTTTTTCTCTTAAATCAGTCCTTTTTCTTAAATAATATTTGCCATTTTTTCTATTTGTTACGAAAAAAAACATGTACAAAAAAAATTGTTCTTAGATGATAAATCCTTTTAAGCATTTATTGCATTTCGAAGTAAAAAGTTTTGCAGTTTTCATACGCAAGTTTGTTTTTTGTTTCTTTTTAAAACATTAAAAAACATTTGTAATTCTTTTCTTCAACTACAAATGAAAAACTTTTCTTTTAAACCTTATTTTTTTTTCTAAAATTTTTCTAAGATTTTTTTTTCAAATTTTTCTACCAAATGCCCATACCCTAGTTTTTTCTTACAGTTGCCAAGAAGGAGTTAAGTTTAAAAATAGACCACAATATGTTGTAAATTTTGGCCAACATTAACTCACCCTCTCTCTATTCTTACCCAGGAAAATAACTAAGAGGTGGAACATTGTTGAGGTTTGGCCCAACGCTTGAGCCTTAAAAAAACACCCTTGTGAAAATTTTTACTTGGGATTTTTTTTCTCCTTTTTATTTTTTTATGTTTCTTGTTTAAGTGCCACACAACTACTTACAAGTGGCAATACATCTTAGAAGTGACCACCAAATGTTGCTTCCCCATCATCTTTATCATCATCATCACATGGTTGCCTGTTGTTGTTGCTGCTGCTACTTTTTAGGGTTCATAAAAAAAATAATAACAAGGAGCTGAAAAATATACAAGGATATTGCCACTTCTTTATAGTAGTTGTTGTTTTGTATACTTTAAGGACTTTATTTGAGTTGTGTGTGTCTTATTTTATTTGCTTTTTTGTTTCTAACACTTGTTGTGTTGGTTGTTTTTCTCTGTCCTATAATAGGACTCCTGAGCAGAATATTTGATAGAGGGGATATATTGTTATGGGCAGAAAGAAAGGAGTAGGAAATCATCAAATCAGCCAAATGAAGAAATCGTGAAAGCTTTCTATTTAAAAAGAAAGTAAAAGCCACTGAAATATTTTAAGCTTTAAAGCTTTTTCAAAGCTTTTGAACTAATCAACTTAAGTGTATTGTTGAAAAAGCTTTATAAGATCTTTTATTTGTAAAAAGCTTTTCAATTGTAAAAATATCCATTTTCTATTTTAAATGCTTTATAAGCTAGTTGTCTGTATAAGCTTTTCCAAAAAAAAAGCAAAAAGCTTTATAAGCTTTTCAATTGCGAAAAGCTGTTTAAACTTTTTAACTGTAAAAACCTTAGTGGGGTCTTTATTACAAAAAGCTTTATATGCTCTTAATTGTAAAAGTATTTTTTAAACTTTTGATTTATAAAAGTTTTCTAAGCTTTTTAATTGTTTAAGCTTTCTAAACTTTTTCATTGTAAATTTGTAAGTGTCGAAAATTAATACATATCTCAAAATAAGTTAATTTAATTATAAAAGCTTTGAAAGCTTACATTCTCAAGCTTTCTAGTAAACATACAAATATTTATTATATTTATTTGCTTAAATATTTATTAAATCTTAAACTAATTAACTTTAAACTAACATAGTTTATTTCAAAGTTTCTCTTCTTTTATTCTCTTATTAAATACATTTTTTTTCTCACCAAAAAAAAGGAACTCGAATACATATTACAAAAAACAATTAAAACTAAATTAACTAAAATACTTTATAAACAATAAAACAAAATTACGTTTTTGTTTCTTGCATCGTTTGGAAATTGCCATTCGTCAGTTTGGGATTAGTAGAAGTGGGTACCACTGATTTTTGCAATTTACGACGCTCCAGCCAGCGTCTCACAAAAGGTGACAAAAGCTTAGGATCCACACGATTAACACTATTGAAACCCAAACAAAAGCTCACAATTGAAGCCACAACAATGGTGATAACAGCACCCACCATGGTATAGTAGAGATAGGAAATGTTATAGATTTTGAAGGGGGCATCACTGTTAAGATAGGAATTACAATATTTTAGATATTTAGTTTTAAAATTAAAACACCCACCTGGCCTCTTCTAGAGTTTCAGTAACATTTTCCGCCACCAAATTTAAGGCGGCCATATCCGGGAAAGTATAATTACAACCCAATGTGGTAAAAGGTTTACGCACATAAACCACTGCGCCACTGATTTTATCCAATTGAGCTTTAATACACATCCAGGCCATGAATATGAGACCCGTGCAGCCGCCTACTAAGGCGCCCTTTTTTAAAGAACATTTTAATGAAATTTTCTTAAAAATGTAAAATAATATAACTTACAATCTCTCCCACCCAGGGTATCATTACACCTAAGGTAAATATACCCAACAGAGGACCATTGGCCACCGATGACAGTGTTATACTTAACTGCAACACTGTGCCCAATTGCTCCACCACAAATACCAGTCCAACACAGAGGAAACCAAATACTACCACCACTATACGCATAATATATGAGGTTTGTCTTTTGGTTAAAGGTTTGCGTGAAAACATTTTGAAAAAATCTTCTAGAATGACAGCAGACATGGAGTTGAGACCAGTGGAGAGGGAGGATAAGGCAGCTGAGAAAACACCGGCCACAAAGAGACCGGGTAGGCCGGGTAAATCTCCCAAAGTTTCCATGACCAATAGAGGCAACAATTGATCATTGCGTTTGGCCAGCTAACAAAGGGATAATGAAACAGAGATCACGAATAGAATTAAAAAATTTCGTGCAAAGAATGAGGCAATGAAGCAAACTTTAAAAGCTCTGGGAGCTTTAAAGCTGAGTGTTAAAAATGACAATGAATGAGTTAGGCATTAGGAAGCAAGAGAGAGCGAGATAATGAAACCAAGTTCACGAATAGAGTAAAAAAAGTTCATGCAAGGAATAAAGGAATGAAGAATACTCTGTGAGCTTTAAAGCTAAATGAATGAGTGATTTATTAGTGATCATTTTTCTTCTTATGTTTACCTTGGTTTCCAAAGGATCACAATCCGAGTAAGTGGCATAGATAAGTAAACCACTATAACCACAAATAACCAAAAAGATTAAAACACCTAATATGAAATACCAGATGGCGCTTTGAGCTTTTTTCAAAGTCGGCAAAGACAAGTAACGCTGAATCATATTCTGATTAATGGCATTCGATTTAAGCCAATGAGGAACACCACCAATAACCAAAGAATAAACCGTATAACGTTCGGTGATATCAAACGTAAAGCTAGAAGGTTTAAAAAATTAAGCTTTTGTGGAGCAAAAAAGTTTCTCTTAAAACCTACTTAGGCGCCTCCAATCTACCACTTTCCAAAGCCTTTTGAAATACCACTCCTGGACCGCCTATATCTATGGTACCCTTAATCATGATCAAAACCATGGCACCACACATGATTAAGGTTTGTATGACATCAGTCCAAACTACAGCTTTTAAGCCGCCCTGTGCGAGATTAGGAATTAATAAAATTTATTTGTATTTGGAAGATTTTAAAACTCACCACACAGGTATAAAATATACACACTAAACACACCATGGGAGTGACAAAATGTATATTTGCGCCCGTGGCTTGATTAAAAGCCAAAGCTGGCACATAAATCACAATGGGCAGCCACAGCATCTGGGATTTTGGGAACCATTTTTAAACAGTTTGAAATTATTTTTAAGAATATACTTACCGTGCCGCATATGAATAGTATGGAACCAAATAATCTAACTTTTCTATCGAAACGTGACTCTAAATACTGAGCAAAAAGAAAACATTTAAAAAGATTAAATAAAAAGCTTTCTGGGAGAACTTTTATAGAAAGCTAGCTTTAACTTAACCTTAGGCTTTAAATGAGCAAAATTTTACTTACCTGATAGGTGGATATTAATTTCAGTTCATGATACACAGGCAAATACAAATAATGCATAAGAAAGCCCATAGTTATCATGGAACCAATAATATACAAATATTGGGTGCCATACAAATACACCTCGGTAGGGGTGCCTAGCAAAGTAATGCCGGAAATAAAGCTAGAAATAGTTAAAACTAACTGTTAGAAAAAGAAAGCTCTATTAGAAAAACTTTCTCACAAACAGCTTTTGAAAACAAACACTTCAAACCCCTAAATTCTGAATTCCTTTACTCATTCTGTTACAAATACTGACCTTTTCATTACAAAATAAATTACACATATTCATTATTTTCCCTAATATTCTCAAAACGTGTTTGAATGTAAATTGTAATTCTTTGAACTAATATTTTTATTAGAAATTCTAAATCTACGTGTTTTTATGTCAAAATCCCATTATAAATAAATCTGTATCTAATTGTAAAATTTTCGTTCTGTTTATTGTACAAAAAAAAGTCCCATAAATTGTTAGAAGTAAAAGTATTCATAAATTTATATAAAAAAATTAATTAATTACCAGTTGTTGACAATTTAGTTGGGGTGGGAAAATACAAAGTTGTCTATGTAGAAATTCTATGTCATTTTATTTAAACTTTACAGAACATAGAACAAATTTTCTCACTAAAATTATTCGCTTATTCTAAATAATTATTATAATCAAAGTAATTAAACTTTTACTAAAGTTTAGCTAGCCAGCTCTTCTTCATTTGTATATAAGTTTTAGGAAACTGTGTATTAGAAATGATTATTTTTTAAAAATATTTTTTTTTCTATAATTGGTTTTTATTATAATTTCTATATTTATATAATTTTGTTTATATTTATACACATAATGTGTTGCAATTGCAAGATAACTATGTCTAAGCTACCTTCTATTTTTTTGTCAATTAGTTTACGTATCAAACAAATTTATTAATTATAATAAATAACGTATAAATACGAATACAATGACTACACAATAATTTCTTAAGTATGACTAGTCTGGGGGCAAATACTATAATTTGAAGTCTGTTTTTTCTTAAGAAAAAATCTTTTTTATGAGAATCTTGGAAAAAGCGGAAGCTATTATGTTTATAGAGGCAATAAAATCTGGTGATATGTGCTGCAGGTAACGCTACCGTTTAGACAATAGTCTAGTCCAGCTTATAGCTCAGAGTATAGCATAGACCAGAGCCTATTGTTTAGCACAGATTATAGTCTAGTCTATAGCCTTGCCAATATATCAAACTGTAGTCTAAAGTACAGACTGTAGTCTAGTATAAATACCAGACTATAGTTTAGAAAATGCTCCAGTCTATAGGCTAAACTATAGTGTAGTCTACAGTCCATACTATAACCTAGTCTATAGTAGAAGCTAACTTTTAGTCTATAGTACATAATATAGTCTTTAGTCCATACTATAGTCTAGTCTAAAGTCGAGACTATAGTCTAGTCTAAAGTCCAGACTATATTGTAGTCTATAGTTCAGGCTTTAGTCTAAGGCCAGATTAAAGTCTAGTCTATAGTCCAAACTATATTATAGTCTATAGAAAAACTATTTTCTAGTCTACAGTCCGCATTACAGTTTGGTCTAAAGTCCATATTATAGTCTACTCAATAGTCCATACTATATCTTAGTCTATAGTCTATACTATAGTCCAAACTATATTCTATAGTCTATACTATAGTCCAAACTATAGTCTAGTTAATAGTCCAGACTATAGTCTATTCCATAGACATATTATAGTCTTCTCTACAGTCCAAACTATAGTCTTTTCTAAATTTCAGAGTATTATCTACTCTATATTCAGACTATAGTCGTATATAGTCCATACTATAGTCTCGTCTATTGTCCATACTATATTCTAGTATATAGTCTTTACTATAGTCTAGACTATAATCTAGTCTAGTCTACCGTCGACACTACAGTTTACTCTAAACTCCAAACTATAGTCTTGTCTAAAGTCCAGACTATAGTCTACTCCATAGGCAGTCTACTCTATAGTCCAGACTATAGTCTATTCTATAGTCCAGTCTATAGTCAACACTATTGTCTACACTATAGTCTTCCCTATAGTCCAGACTATAGTCTACTTTATAGTAAAAACTATAGTCTAGTATGTGGTTCACACTATAGTATAGTGTAAAGTCCAGACTATATCCTAGTCTATAGTCCAGACTGTATTCCAGTCTATAGGCCAGACTATAGTATAGTCTAATGTCCAGACTACAGTCTAATCCAAATTCCAGACTATAGCCCAGCCAAAAGTCCAGACTATAGTCTAGCTTAAAGTCTAGTCTATCGTTTAATCTATAGTTAAGTCATTATAGCTTCCCCTCTATACTGTAGCGTTCTCATGCAACAAAAAATTTCTCTCTTTATTATGGCTTGTGCCCACTTATGCTTGTAGGTAGATAATGATAATTGAAATATTTCGTAAGAATTTTGAAAATTAGCTTTTCTATACACAAACTAATATAAAAAAGATTATTCAAATGTCACAAAAAAAGTGTAAACTAAGATTTATTTCCCTTTCAACGGCTTTCAAACGGGATGACAAAGAATTTCTACACGAAAAAGAAAATGACCTTTGAAATTAAATACACGGCTTTATTAAAGCAACAAAATAATAACAACTAAGTCATTTCTAAACAGTGATAAAATTTCAGACATCATTAGCTGTTAAGTATTATCCACTTGTTTGTAATATTTTAATTTATAACAAAAGTTGTGTAATTGTAATAATTTTTTTCCTAGTTTATTGTTACAAAAGCTGTTTTGTAGAAAGTTTTATATTATATTTATCATTTTTACCTTGATATCAATGACATGGTTATGGGAAATATTGTCATTTTACGTCCACCCACTAGATAATCATCTTCAGCATCTTTATTACTTAATTGTGTGTTTTGCTGTGATTTTTTACGCATTTTTAAGGCGAAATATATTCCAATCAGGGCACAACTGGCCAGCATGAGTATGAACACTAAATAGTCTGGCCAGCCGAAACGTTGCAGATTTGTACGCACTTCATCGACATTTAGTTTAAAGGTCATTTTGTGCGTGTGTGTGTGTTTTTTTTTTTCTATATATTTGAGATCTTTTGTTTAATATTCTTGGTGATGTTTATAGATTTGTATTGAGTTCTTTGGTGAAAGAACCTAAGTTTTCAGGAATTTTAGATATTTTTAGGTTTTCCTTAAAAAAAGAAAAACTGATGACATTTTAGATCATATAAGAAGACTTCAATTGTATAGGGTTCGAAGGACCAATTTGATGTACATATATGTAGTTGATTTCAAAACTTTGTTAAACACCATTTTAATAAAATATTTTTAGGAAATTTTCTAAGAATTCTTTAAGCTGAACTGAAAATTAACAATTCCTCTTTTTTTTAGAAAAATCCTATGGCTCGAAGGACCATTTAATTAAAATAGTTGAGCTTTTTTTCATTAGTATTTTGTAATCCAAATATGTATACAATTTTTTCTTTAGATAAAAAATGTCATCAGATTTTCTTTTTTAATTCCATATTCTCAAAGCATAATTTTAGGAAAACATGATTTTGGGAAGAGTTTCTTTAGACAGTTTATCCTGAAAGTCCTTTTGAACAGTTTTCTTTTTTGATTCAAAATCTTTAGAAAATTTATTCTGAAAGTCCTTTTGAATAGTTTTAAATTATTTGTAGTTGTGATAACTTTTATTATTTCTTATATGAAAACTTTTTAAAATTTTGTTTAATAGCTTTTCAAGATTATTTATAGTTTTAAAGGATATTAATAATTTTGGTCTGATTTTTATGTTATTCACTTAATTTTTTTCAATTTTATTCAAGTGATTATTTTTTCTCCTTTTTAGTTCAAACACTTTAAATATTAAAATTATTTAAATTACTTTGCTTTTAGTAGTTGATCTTAATTTTCGTCCTTTTTTCTCAGGACTTTAGAGACTTAAAAGCCTCTTTTGTATTTTAAAAGGGTTTTTATTGGATATCCTTTGGTTAACACTTCATTCTTAATTTAAAATTTTTTTTATTTAAAATTATAATTCGTTTTTAAAGCTCAGCTTTTGCTGTTGTTTCCGATCGTTTGTTCTACTCGTTTAAATTTCCAGCCGCTACTAAGTTTGAGTAACTGGTTACATTTCTTCTTATTTAGTAACTTTTTTTTATTATTATTAGTTACGAACATTATTTGTATAATTCTTTTTGTCAAATACAATCAAATTTCCTTATACTCGCAGTTAGTTTATACAATAATATATGAACACAACAACAGCAACAAAAAAAGAAAGAAATCTAATAATAAGTGAGAAAATTTACTTAAACTTTGGGCATGATCGACTGAAAGGGGACTTACAAAACTAAGAAAAGATCAGTTACACATATAATCACAAACCAATTTTGCGTAAATTTGGTTTTCAATTGAACAACTTTTCCGCCAATTAAAACCATTTTGAATCCAACTTAGAACTAACAATCAAAATTGACGCAAAACATTAGTAACACAACTTCTCAACCAATTTTGATTTCTAATTAAAGAAAGTTTTAAAGACATAGAGACTTAAGAAGTTACCAAAGTTTAACCCTAGTAAGTAGACTTACTATAGGGTATATAATACCCACAAATAAAATTATATTACTGTTTAAATCTCACTACGTTTTAAACATTTTCGTCTGTCACTAATTCATATTTTAGCTGCCATATGTTTCTCAGTCGGATATCAAACATTTGCATCTTCTAAACTGTAAATGTATCACAGCTTAAAGAGCTGAACAAATCACTAAACGCGTAAATTAAATATAATTTTGCAATACGATCAAGCCTATAGAAAGCCATTCTCTCTTTATCCCCTTAAATTTTGTAATAAGACATTTCTATAATGTGGGCCACTGTCATCATACATCAAACATTAGCTGCTGCTAGAGGGTGTTATTTCTTTGTTTTTTCGCAACATAAGCTTGTAAAAGTTTTGAAATTTCTAAAAATATTTTAATTTTCTTTGTGTCTAGAGTTTTGATCAAAGAATAAATTTGTAATCGTAAATTTTTTTAAGATTTATTTAAAGATATTTGTGAATGATCTTTTCTAAGTGCGTTTAGTTTGAGTGTGTGTGTTGTACACTCACTTAATGTTTGGCAAATTAACTTGATTAAATTTATTAAATAATTCTTTTTTTTTCTAAATCACTTTTATTGTTTTAGTTTTTTTTTAGTTGTGCTAAATTTTAAACGCGTGTAGTTAAACAGAGAAAAAATAAATAAAAACAACAAAATAAGAGAAACTTCATCTAGTTTAGACTAGACTATACGTTATGTAGTAGACATAACTATATATGAGATTATAGGCTAGACCATGAGCTTGACTATAGGTTAGATCATAGGCTAGACTATAGACTAGATTAGACTAGACTATAGACTAGACTATAGACTAACTATAGACTAGACTATAGACTAGACTATGACTAACTATAGATATGACTAGACTATAGCTAGACTATAGACTAGACTATAGACTAGACTATAGACTAGACTATAGACTAGACTATAGACTAGACTATAGACTAGACTATAGACTAGACTATAGACTAGACTATAGACTAGACTATAGACTAGACTATAGACTAGACTATAGACTAGACTATAGACTAGACTATAGACTAGACTATAGACTAGACTATAGACTAGACTATAGACTAGACTATAGACTAGACTATAGACTAGACTATAGACTAGACTATAGACTAGACTATAGACTAGACTATAGACTAGACTATAGACTAGACTATAGACTAGACTATAGACTAGACTATAGACTAGACTATAGACTAGACTATAGACTAGACTATAGACTACGTAGATAATTTAAATTCATCAAGACTAGACTATAGACTAGACTATAGACTAGACTATAGACTAGACTATAGACTAGACTATAGACTAGACTATAGACTAGACTATAGACTAGACTATAGACTAGACTATAGACTAGACTATAGACTAGACTATAGACTAGACTATAGACTAGACTATAGACTAGACTATAGACTAGACTATAGACTAGACTATAGACTAGACTATAGACTAGACTATAGACTAGACTATAGACTAGACTATAGACTAGACTAGACTAGACTAGACTAGACTATAGACTAGACTATAGACTAGACTATAGACTAGACTATAGACTAGACTATAGACTAGACTATAGACTAGACTATAGACTAGACTATAGACTAGACTATAGACTAGACTATAGACTAGACTATAGACTAGACTATAGACTAGACTATAGACTAAACTATAGACTAGACTATAGACTAGACTATAGACTAGACTATAGACTAGACTATAGACTAGACTATAGACTAGACTATAGACTAGACTATAGACTAGACTATAGACTAGACTATAGACTAGACTATAACTAGACTATAGACTAGACTATAGACTAGACTATAGACTAGACTATAGACTAGACTATAGACTAGACTATAACTAGACTATAGACTAGACTAGACTAGACTATAGACTAGACTATAGACTAGACTATAGACTACGTAGATAATTTAAATTCATCAAGAAATTGAACTTTTTTAAAATATCTGAATTTAAAAGGCACCAATAGTAACGATCTTTTGTACAGTTTGAAGGCAACTGCTTGAAAAGTGATCATTAATAAGTAGAACTATTGCATATCTTAGGGGCTAAAAAAAGATCAGCAAATCTAAAGCTCTTTCTATATAAGCAAAGCTTTTATACTCTTTCTGATATAATGTAAGCAAAAATCTTAAAAATTAAACTTTATTACAAATATAGTTAAATATATATAAATATAGTTAAATATATATAGATATAGACTACGTAGATAATTTAAATTCATCAAGAAATTGAACTTTTTTAAAATATCTGAATTTAAAAGGCACCAATAGTAACGATCTTTTGTACAGTTTGAAGGCAACTGCTTGAAAAGTGATCATTAATAAGTAGAACTATTGCATATCTTAGGGGCTAAAAAAAGATCAGCAAATCTAAAGCTCTTTCTATATAAGCAAAGCTTTTATACTCTTTCTGATATAATGAAAGCAAAAATCTTAAAAATTAAACTTTATTACAAATATAGTTAAATATATATAAATATAGACCATATTTTTTCGCTTAAACCTTGGTCACTCTTTTATCAGTTTTCGTTTTAACTCGTGTGCAATCTAAAATTAAACTTTTCGTCAAGTGAAGATAATTCATAATTGTAAGCAAAAATTATAGAACAGCAATAACATACCCAAAGGAATTTCATAATTTAAACCTTTAATAGCACGCTTGCGTCGAAAACCAAAATCAGAGAAGGCTAAATCGGGAGAAGGCCCACTTAAGGGCGTAACAGAACCCAAGGTCTAATAAGAGTTAAGTTTTGGTATAAATTTCTTTAGCACAATTTTTCTTTATATACTTACCACTATATGAGGTTTTTCTATTTCATTGTACCAGGATTCAAAAGCAGAACTAAGTATAAGTTGATGGCACATGATAGTGATTATTAAAAACTTCTTTAAATTTAACATTTTGCTTAAAAGGTTTAACTTAAACTGGAGTTGAATTTTGTTGCACTTAACACTTTTATTAAAAAAACTTTAATTTTAACTTGAAAGAATCACGATTTTAATTTTATTTCGCACACGTTATAGGTTGTAGAAATGATATTGATATGAGACTGAAATATCAAGGCTAATCACAGTTTGTGTTAGGTTCAATCAACTTAGAATATTAGTAAAGAAATTAAATTTCAGTTACTGATTTTGCCTGAACACTTAATTTACTTACCTTGTTTATAAAATTTTGGAACATTTGGGAATTTTGATCAAAATTGCGTAAATATTTTTTTAAACTTAATTGTTTACTAATATCAACATTTTAAAAACGACTTTAATGAGCCATATAATTATTACGCAAATTATCTGATTTTTATCTTTGGTTATAAAAGTTGACGGAATTATACCAAATACAGTTTTTATCGAACATTTATTGGGAAAGCAATGTTAGTGAAAATATTACTTGGTATTTTTGCCACATTACTTCTCACCAGTTTAATAGTAAGTTTAGAAAAAGTTTGATTTTTTTTTTTGTGAAAATTTCAAAAACTTTGTTTTACTTTCAGTTTGCTATGCCTGTAGCCGAATGGACGGATTATGATGACATGGATAAATTGCAAAAAATGTTTGAGGATTTTCAACAGAAAATCAAGGAGTATGAATGTGAGTTTTAATATTTTTTCCATTCAAATATGAAGAGTTAATTAATTTAATTTTTTTGTGTTTAGTAAGCAGCGATGTGGATTATATGAATGAGGAAGATGCTGAGTTTTAAGTTTGGAAAACTGGAAAATTTTTTGATGTAACAATTACTTTCTTTAGCTAAATAAATTGTATTAAAAAAAGAAATATTTAAAATCCGGAAACATTTTCTATATAGACATTGGCTATTTAGGCTATATTCAATAATTAATTTCAACCATATATAACTATAGTCTTTCAATAGTTGAGTCCATAGTCTAGCCTTCAATCTAAACAAAACTATGAACAGTAGTATTTTAGGTTAAATTTAAGACTATAGTCTAGCCTTTAGCTGAGACCAAAGACTATAGTAGAGACTATAATCTAGGCAATTGATGAAACTACAATCTAGCCCAGAGTGGAGACCTTTGTTTGGCATACAGCTGAGACTACAATCTAGCCTATAGCTATGGACTGTAAAAGAGACTACAGTTAAGAATATAGTCCAGTCTGCAGTTGTATATTATAGTTTCATTGGGCTGTAGCAGAGATTTTAATAAAGGTAATAGTTGGCACTATAGAATAGATTATAGTAGAGACTATAGTCTGGTCTATAGTTTAAGATATAGACAAGCTTTTAGCTAAGACTATAGAGTATATTTATACTATGGTATAGCCTTTAGTTGAGACAATAGTCTTGGCTACAATTCAGAATATACCCTAACCAATAGCTGATATTGACGGTAATAATAGAGGTCTACAGTTGAGGCTATAGTATAGTATACAGTTGAGACCATAGTCTTGGATACAACTGAAACTATAGTCCAACCTATAGCTGATACTGAGGGTTATAATTG